CAAGTTATAATTCAGGACTTTGAAGACCATTTTTAGATGACAAGTTCCCTCAAAAATGGATAGGTACCAACGGACCTGTAAGATGGCCTCCACGATCTCAGAATCTTTCAATTTTAGATTTCTTTTTATAGGAATATAAGCAAAATGAAGTACGTAAAACACGATACGAGTATGTAGCAGAACTTCGACGGGCAATTGATTTAACATTTAAAACATAAGAAAAATATGCGAGTTTTTCATTCGAGAAAATGGTGTCCAATTTGATCAACAGGTTAATGTATAATATTAACATTCTTTAAATATTATGGTATTTCCTAATAATTAAGTTGAAAATTATTACAAATATAAATAATTCAATTTAAAAGTATTGACCTTCTTGTAAGTTAATAATTGCTTATTTGGATGTTCTGCTACTGCTACAAATAAAATAAAAAATGAAAAAAATCAAATTTTTATTTTAATTTTCAATACAAATTTATATTTCTGAAAAGCCTAAATGATTTCCAATTAATGTAAAAAATGATATACAGCGATAAAGCAAATAAACAATAAACCATGCTACTGGATTCTACGGAAAAAATTCTATAAGAACGCTTTCTAAACTCTTCAATGACTTAAAAGATAACTGAGGTACGAGGGTGGTCCCAACATCGATAGTTTTTGATTTCAGACTGTATCTCAAAAATCAGGCTTCCATGATAATTTTGTTGCCGGCATCTTTATTTCACAAAAAAGTAGCGCAGTGTCGGGTAAACCGTAACTTTCTATCTTAAAAAATAACAGAGATGGCCCATAAAAGTGCCCGAAATGGGATACCCGGTGCAGTATGAATATCTGCATGGATTTTGAGTCATTAGTTCAAGTTCGGAAATAAATAATAACCGGATTTTCGATAATTTATCAAAACTAATTTATTCTCGGCGAGGCGGAACGCAATTTCCGAGCGAATTTCAATAAAATCGTCACGTATTTCTTGCCCGCGCATTTTGTCGGATAAATTCATATACATAAACATACGGTTTCGTATCTGAAATATCCTTATATATCCGAAATAAAAAATTCAATATTAAATAAGTGATGAAGTGGTTCCTATAAATCCTAAATAACTTCGTGCTCGTACATCGGATCCCGATATTTGGCACAAAATCAGCCAATAGGAAAACGGGGGATCTTCTGAAACGGGGGAAATCTTATGTTATATCATACGTCGCGTCGTCCCATTCAAAGCGTGTCAGACGGAAGTTGGGAGCCGTGACGATTTAACACCTACTTCAATATTAACATTACCAGCCAGACAGTGTTTAATGAAGCCGTCTCGGTGAATGTAACAAGCGTTTCTTTGGCAAAGGATTATGAAACCGAGATCTTGGTTTCCATTGTTGATGCCTAATTTAGTACGTCTTCTAGTTTTCTTTGTGAATTGTCTATTCGCATTTGATATATTCGTGAGGTTTTACGACGCCCCTAATAGGACACCCCTTACATTACGATATTGCCTGAAATGCGGAGTGGGCACTGGAATAAAACGAACAATGAACTGAAAACCTTCCCAGGACGAATGAATTTTTCGCGCAAGTCAGTAACTTTGTTAGGAACGACGAATAACGTTGTTTTTCACGAGAATTTAAACGACCAATGAAAACTCTCTAACCCACGCACTTGTTCATCTCAACTCGAGATACTTGAACAAAAAAGCTGCTTTTCTGAAGAAATAATATTTAATAGAGCGGAAAAATCTATAAATAACTACTCCTGAATGATTTTTTTAAGGATAAAATGATTTTCCTTAGATCAGCTCCGCCCAGTAACGGAGGTGAATGTTTTAAAAATGCTTACTAAAGTTATATCAAAAGCGGCTGGTTGTGACGGACTTAATATTGAACCCGCAAATTAGTTTTCGCATTTTTCGTACTCATAAACCACCTTTTCATCGTCGTTAATCGAAAATTTAATAATAAACCGTTAATATAAAAAACCTGTACTACATCAAGGCGACTTCAACCCTTCTGAAATTATCGTTTTTTACCAATTGCAGGCCCAGAATAATAGTATATTATGCAACAAGTGCGGTAAACGGAATTTGACTCATGAGTTTTTAATAAACGAGTGAGTTAAAAAGTTTACCGAACGTGTTGCATACTATACTTTTTCTACGACCGTTAGTTTTTGGGTACATTTTCGTAAAACAACACGAATACATTAACTGACATGACTGTCAGAATTGACAAATGTCAAAATTCAAAGCGTGGGATATATCTCCGAAAACATCCGATTGCTCCCAAATCCGCGCGGTAACATTCCGGAAATGTCCGAAGTGGCTCGGATTCATGGGAAACGAAACTAACGTCGTAAAGTGACGTTTCCCGCACGCTAGATCGGTGTTAGCGGCGTTCAACAACCAACATGACCGCTGACAGATCGTTAACTCGACAGGTTTCAGATTAGACATTTTTACGTCAATATTTTTTCAAAATAAATATGCCCAGATTTCGATAAATGTTCAAGTTAACTGCGTGAAAATCGCTGTTTTAGGTGCTTAGTGTTGCAATTTAGAGGGATACCGGGAAAATCATTCCCATCTCTAAAAATATATCATAACCTCCCGAGGCGCATTAATTTATACCGTAGCTGTTAGTAAGTGATTCCCGTTGATTACTTCTTACTATTACAATTTTTATTTTTTTTCCTTTGATATCTGGCAGTGTTTTACTTAAAACTGTTTGCCGATGGCAAATCGTTTTCGGGGCTACTTAAAACATAAGCGAGCCACAGCCTACCCAAATAATTTATAATAATTATTAGCCACATGTACGGAAATATTGCAGACAAACGGCCTGCAATTCTTAAAGGTATTAATAGTTTTATTTTTTTTTTTAGAAATGCAAATTTGTGAGACACATTGTATCAGTGACGTTTAATGTTACAGATGTATTAGCTAACCTCTATATAATTTTGAAATAACTAGCTCACTTGCGGAGAGAAGATATTAATTAAGTTTTACTAAGCGCTGTTTTTCTGTAATTTTTTTTTCCGAAGTAAGGCAAGAGATGTGCATAAGGAAATGTTAACAAAAGGTCCGTAAATATTTCAAGAAAAACAATTAAAAACTAACCAAAACTATTTAGCTTTCCAAAAATTCTAATAGATCGCTCAACGTGAATCTCCCTTTATATAAAATGTAACCATTTTGTTTGGTTTTGCTTAGTTGGCATTAGTGTTATGGTCTAATTTATATACCTCTAAATGTGGACGTTTCTTTGAAAAAATATAGCTGCAAGTACAACTTAGTAATTTGAATAAATTTGAATCAGCTTATGTAAAAATCGGAAACATAATTTTTACGGGCTCACGACAAAACTTTCCGAAACCACTTAAATTTGCACTCCCCGCTTAACTAAAAAAAGACAAAGTTCGGTCATCTTACCGTAATTCCCAAGCGATAAAACCCTGACGATGTTTTAGTGCCGATATAATATGCAAAAATCTCGGCGAACTCTAAAAAACCTCGTTTTATTCTCCCGACCTCGTTCCGTACCAAAAACGATATCCGGCGAAAAAAAACAAATATCCCTCGAAGGAATAACAAAATTTCTTACAATATTTAAAACGGCCAAGGGAAAACCGCAGGCCCCAATCTTCCGTCGAAAAACACAAGCTATTTTTACAGAATTTGGCTTTAAGATTTATTATCTGCAATTTAAAATGTTTGCAGTATGTTACGCACTCGTGAAATTTTAAATAACAAAAATTCACCAGGTTAAATTCGAACAAAACGACGACAATAAATTACGAGAGTAGTCGGTGTTACCGGGCGTTAAAGCTTTGCGTAGCTTATTTTCAGCCTCGTTTTAAACATTCTTTTCTACCTTTATATCGCTTTACTATGCTAAGCAGGGCCTATTTTGCGACCCGCGATATAAAGGAATTTAATTTATAAAAAACTATTTAGTCGACTCCACGGGTACGAATTTCTTCCAAATTAAATTAATCGAATTTTTCAAAAGAATTTCAAAATAAACTAATTGTTCGAATGACATGCCATAACCGACTCGTAAACTATTACGTATGACAAAAACCAATATAGAATGAGAATGAAAAATGACATAGATTCTCTGATGTTTTCATAGGAAATTATTACCCAAAAGTTTGGATTGCGTAATGATAAGAATACTTAGTTGAACTTACTAAGTTACACGGATCATCTTCTGCATACAAATTTTTCCAAAGCATTCGGCAGAGTACCATATAACACTCTTCATACTAAGTTTGCAACTCTGGGCTTGAATGGTCCCATATTTAGCTGGTGCCGTGCTACCTTACTGAAAGAACTCAGATTGTACGAGTGCATAATTGTTTTCTCTTTAATTTATAGGTCAATGCCGTTCATTCCTGTTTCAGATTCTGCTTAAAACTCTATGTGCGTTCTTATTTAGGCTCTCAACATATTGCCGATGACTTAAATAAGTGTGGTGCGACAGCAATGGCGGAGAGATTAACATATTCATATGCAAAATTACAATGTTTAGTAGACGGCCACTCACTTTAAATTTCAAGTATTTTATAGGTAATGAGTTAATTGAAACTGTGAGCTATGCTTTGTTGCCCACATCAATATATAAAATGCTTTATTTTAGTTAGTGTGTTAGTCTATTATAATTGATAATTTCGTTCGTCAATAAATAAATAAATAAAATATGAAAACTCGAATCCATGACACCAACTAATTAATTCTTAGCGAAAAACTCCCTAGTAGCTTTGCTGAAATTCCCGATACTGTTAGATACACTAACATTGAGTATGTATTAATATATTAATATATAACTAAACTAAACTAAACTAAACTTTTACTATAGTAATATATTCATCATACTCCCTTTGAAAGGCACCTAAAACCCAATTAATGACTAACAGCAAAAACACTGCAAATCAACCCCACATTTAATTTTCTAGAAAATACACATATACAATTGAATTGCTCCCAAAATGCCGTTATTACTCACCATCAACATTTCTGCTCATTTTTCATGGTCCTATCTGTAAAGGAAACAACAATACATTATAAACGATTTATTCCAATCACATGTAAAAATAAAATTTCGGTGTATATTATTTTGCCAAGAATAATGGTTAAAATGTACCCACTCCAGAAAACGCCACTGCTATTGATAATTACCATCTAGTTGCTATTAACTTAAGGACTTTTGACAATTAAGTTACGCAATTCAACAAAATTAATAAAATGATTTTTGAAATAATTAGATAAAAAACAACTTAAGGCTTGAATTTCTAGAACACGCCTTCATATGATTTACTAGTAAGTTGCACCATATATTGAGGCAGAAGACGATTTGAATTACGACGAATGATATATATCGTATGGATTAACACCAATATTTTATTATTGTAAATGTTTATTAATTTTTTAATTATAAATTAATTAATACACAAATCGTTATAAAAAAGAATTTTTCTCCGACACACTATTTTGTAAAAACAGATATTCTACAGTTTTTAGAATCCACATTTATATCACCAACTGTGTAGTAGGAGACTATTCAAATGAAATATGGTATAAATTAATCCTAATGCTAATATATGTTAAAAATTTTGGTGATAACTTCACGAATACAAGGATGTTTCTTGATGTTAATTTAAACTGATGCAATTCCCCACTGGGCTTTTTGTCCGACATGAGCTTACAAAACTCTGCGACATCTCAAAACAGATATTTTGAATACGGAATGCATCCCCTGCGTGACAAATAATATTGATAATTGAATCTCTAGTCACTAGCATAATAGTTTCCGAATCGTCTGTGTCTGTAACTTCAGATACGAAAACGATCTTCCCTAAGTGTATTTGACATGTCAAAGAAAGGAGAGGTGGCAACTATTCAAAATAACTCAGTGGCAACTTCCAAAATTCGGAAAATATCGAAACATAAAAATACTCTGCTTTTGGGGTAAAACATGAAAACATTTAATGTGCCCAAAGGTACAACTCTTATGTGGATATTTAAATAATAGTGAATAAAGATGTTCAAATGTAATTTTTTAGTGTTTCTTTTCTTTATTATTTATTTCTAAAACTAAATTTGGCAGGGCTTCAGCAAAGAAAATAGTGGACATTACTTCGCCTTAGATTAGGTACTTAGCTGTACTTATAGGTTTGGTTAAACATCGGAACTGCAACAATTCACAGCTGTTATAAAATAAATTCATCGAATTCATAAATTTGTGTGAATGCAAAGAATTCAATTCACTAGCTTCATGGAGGGGTTCGTTCAATTGATAAATTGTGAATCATTGAAAAAAGAATCATTTTTATCCGATTAAAGAATTATGTTCACTGGCAAATGAAAATTATTTTCATAGCGTTAATGAAGCGCTCTTCATTATAAGAATTAATTTTTTCATCGTATTCACAAAAAAAAATTAATACAGTGCATATTAATGCATAATGTTAATTTGGTCCCAACGCTTGTATTATAGACGAAAAAGAAACTAATGAATTTTAATTGAGAGTCAAAGTGGTAAGTTACGGCCAAGCGGTGACCAATTTAACATCTTTAAGCGACAGCCACTTAATACAGCCACCGATATTTTCGTATATCGGAGCCGCCTCAAACGCAAGGCCTAACCTTCGACGAACGGTTGGCTGCTCGAGTCGATAATAAAGGGAGATGATGAATACACGTGTTGGAAGGTGTGAGAGCGGAGATAAGGTTGTTTAGCTCGGAAGAACCTATTAATACTGATTACACTGATACGACGATCCAATAGCTACCGTGTGTGATGGATGTTTGTTGGATTTATTACATCGCCTTTAGTATATACGTGCGAGAAGCCAATTTTTTGCAAAAAGGAATTTCTCGATCGCTTCCGAATTGAAATTTATAGGTCGCGTCGGAGATGAATTATAGATCGAACCCGTTAAATCCGATGAGATGAGATTAAAGGTTATTGAAAATGTTTAAGACGTATCTGGAAAGTAACCGGGATATTTAAATTCGGATAAAGTATGCTCTCTTAGGCAACAAATTTCTCTAAGTACCAAATTCGTTCAGCAGACGTGGAATGTCATTTTGCAATAATTGAAAGCAATGTCGAATATTTTATGGTCTGAGCAACAATATCCAAAGATGCTTATACAACGTGACCTATTTGAATTGGAAGAAGCACCCATGAAAAATTTTTCAGATTTTAAACCAACTCATACTGGTCAGCATGTTATATAAGCATCAAAAACTAGATTTTTAAAAGCCATGTTTCTTATTTCTTGCCAAAAAAAAAGTTATTATTATTAGACAGTTACAGGAAAATCCGGTTTTCATGTACAATGTTTTCATGCAAAAATGTCAACCCACAGTGGTTACGGTTTTGTGCTAAATTAAGACAACTTTGGTAAGTGAATCTTACTTACGGGCGAGTCTTTTTTTTTCAAAACAATCTTGCTATTCAAGAACGAATTTTTCATTTTCAATAGTTTTTCCGTAAATATTTAAGCAGAAATGGTTAATGGAACACTTGCCCGCCTCTTACTTAGAATTTCTGCAAAACAATTTGTATGGACTTTTGCAAGGCAAAACATAATTTATTCATTTATAATAAAAATAATTCCAAAAAGGGGGTGTATCCAAAATTAATTTCTTTGCACAATGACCCCTAGAAGAGTTTCTATGTGGGCAAAACAACTGTAAAAACCAATATAAACACAAAATTTCATATAAATCTGGATGGCCCAACCAATCAAACTGCAAAACCAAAAATACAATGATAATGGAATAAATTATTTTATATCCAAAAAGAGTATACCGCTATCCAATCCAAATCAACACGCAGCATCGTAAGTTCAAAAAATTAAATCAATATACACAATAAACTAAATAAATTTTAGAGCAAACCAAACGAACAAATGCCTTAGCATTAAAAAAAGTGAACTAAGATGAAAATTCACCAACTCACTGAATCACAGTCACAAAATACGAAATAGGTAAAGATGAGATATTTGTGAAAAGGACAGTGAAAAGAGATTGACACACAGTTTTTGCTTCCCTTTCCAGATCAACTCACATTGTCGTCATAAAGAGGGCTGGAGAATAAATTCTTTTAACGCCTTACATTGAGTATATCAGTATATTATATAAAATAAATAGTTTTTATATGACTGGAGCACCAGATCATAGTAATAGGTCTATGGAGTCAAAAATAAAAATACCATGTAATCAGGAACGACGATTTTGAAACAAAAACGGAAAAGATGAAGAGCAAGCTAAAGCGGATTCAATTTTAATTCCATGTCCAAAATTATTTTTCGTTAATTACGATACACGGACCTCCAAATTAACTCTCCAGTTGACGTAGACGCCATAACATAGTGATTTACCGCCGACAAATTGCATCTTGCTTATTTGCAAGATCGGTAGGTCATATATCGGCTATTAATATTTGAGTCGGCTTGCACTTTAACTATACGCCCCGCTTACATAATCATTACAAATTGAAATAATTTATCATCGTCGCGTCACGGTTGAATTTAATTGTAATTTAGACCGTAATAATGAATTATGATGTATCGTATGAATTACTGCAGATTTAACGGTATTTATTACGGGTAATTTATCATATGTACGGCGAAGGCGGTAAGAAAGAAAAACGCGAAGGGAGAAACCGCAATGAAAAAAAAAGCATATTTCGATTTGGCATTTGTGTTGACTTCAGACGAACATTGGTAAAAACTTGGCACGCACAATATTCCTTCACAAACAGAAATTGCCCACTTGACCGTTCGTTAAACCCAGATCAAAGGCAAATTACACTGGACTTCAGATTATAATAACAATAAAATATTTATATTCTCGTGACTGCGATATAGTTGCGGCGCGTCGTCTGGAAATAGGTATAACTAATCAGTTTTATTTTTATTGATTTAGTTCGAAAACAAGGAATCGCAGCTGCTCCAACACACGGTCAGAATCAGGACACAAAAGGGGAGATTTATACGTGGAATAATCAAATAATTATGACCAATCTAATTATCGATTAACCGCGTGTTATAATTTTGGTCTATAATAAAATTAAGATTACTCGCAACCAATCAACCTTTTATAATTGCCAGTTAAAAGATAACCGCAAGTTGGTGGTGGGTACTCCAATTCTCAACATTTTGATAGCATTTTATTTATCTGATATTGCGAGGGAATTTCATGGAATTTCGGTGCATTTCCGCAGTACTTTAAAGATAAAGGTCAAGTAATGTCAATAAGAGCAAATATCTGAGAGAAAAAAATATTTAAACAAAAGATCTTTCCATTCTATTCTATGTAAAAAAATATTTTTCTGGTTGTAGGTATGGAAGTTAGTTTTATTCCACATAACGTAAACTTTTAAAATTCCAATAAAGCACGATCAAATAGCAGTGATTCAAAAAAATATAGACAACCTGAACTTTTCCCTATTTCTTGTTCAAAATAATTAAATAATTAAATCATTACCTCAATCACATAGAGAGCTAAAATTGTCTCATGTAATAGATTTATGTAGAAAAGTTTACTCTGTAATATACAGCGGCGCCCAAAATTAATTTAGAACATTTCTAGAAGATATCAATAATCATCAAATATATCAAAAAATATATCGTGTTCTTATATCTAAAACGAGGATTCCGAAACAAAAACAATTTTCTGTTAAAATTGACATATTTGCCTTAGGTAAATCAATTCGATTCAACATTTAGAAAATTTGATAATAAATTGGATATTATTAATAAATATGTAGTGAACGTGCCCCAAAAAGCTCATAATGCTCAAAATGGTTACTCGAATGAATTTGTTTATTTGTCAAGCATAATGTGGTCAAATTGCTAGCAACAACATGCAAAAACCAAAATACGAGAATAAGTTTGGACGGTTACAAAATAATTTCCTTAATCGTATATGAATTCTTGAAAGCGGAACGAGATTTAGTGAAATCTAGAACAACGCCTAATGAAGACAATGTCATAAATCTTCTACGATTTTAACACTTATCCTTATG